CTCGCACAAGGTGCTGAAGGATAGATCGTTGAATCTTTATTACAGACTAACTTAAATTTTTCATTAATTTTCCTTGGTCTTCTAGACACACTCTAGATTTTTAATCATATTTCGCCTCTCCATCTTGCCATTAGTTACCTCATCCTGCGGACGTGGCGCACAGACGGGCCTCCTCTCCGAGTTTCACTCCTTCAAACTGCACCACAGCTCTCAATGGTCCATCTTACATTCACTCTCACTCCTACTCATCCTCTCCTCTCTGTGTCGCGAATAGCCTTGGTTCCCACTGTCATGGTTGCGAGTCGGGAAATCTAATGTTAGCCCACATGACCAATGACACTTATTCAAGACGCTCAGTCAAAGACAGCGGCTGCAGGAACCTTCGCATGAGCCCCGACGAGTTTGCTCCTAAACAGGACGATCCTGCCATACGTAATGATTTAACTTTCGCAGTACCATCTACAGTCTTCCGATCTTCTTCCCCTTGTTCCTCATCATCTACTTCTAATGTCATTTCCTCTTCATCTTCGACTCTGTGTTCTGGCTTTTGTATCTCTTCCAGCCTGCCTACTTCCCTTGCTCATATCAACGAATCGCCTGATGCAGAAGTCAGGTCGGCCAGAATGGCTCCTCAACTAGGCACCGTAGAGCGTATGGGATTGATTGCTGCGTTTGACTCTCTCGAAGATTTTGAAAGGTCATTGGATGAAGGATTTCTTGTTCTAGCTTTTCTGTGCAGCTTTTGTACCTTTTTTGATTTTACCCCTAACTAGATTGAAGGCAACAATTGAAAACCTGACTAATCTTTTCTTATTCAAACTAGAGGGTAGGCAGTAGGTAGATGCGCTAAGGCAAAAGGAGTGAAAAGATAGCCGTTGGGCAGAAATTTTATCAAAGGATTGACTTCACTTGTCTCTTTGATTAGTTGTAGCTTAGTGCTAAGACTGGCAAGATTAACTGACAATGCTGGCAATACGTATGGAAATGCCCCAAGTCAACGATATATATATATATCTTTATCCATTTATCAGTTTATTTTCCTGGCTCTTTTTAAGTTCCTTTAAAGCCCGTTTTGTCTAATTTCCAATTTCTCGCCCTATACACAGTGCCTTTGACGAAATCATCGCCCTTTTTTCAAAGACGAAACAAGATTCTGACTTCTGCTCCTCCAACCTCTCCGGACTTAATACATTTTCTCTATCTCGTCCAGCTTACGTCTCGTCCACATCCTGCTCATTTGCCGTTGCTCAAGCACCGTCACATACTCATAAACGTCAGGCAGACCACTTAAGTCATGAGGCATACATGGTTCAACCTCAGCATCGGGATTGCCTTAAGGAGGTAGAGCCATGTTTATCAGTCAATACAAATATGCAGTCACAGGCTCCGCAACCTCGTCGCAATCGAGAGCGCTCGGATACTCTTGTCGCCTTCCAGGATCCTCCATATCAAACAGTCAGTTATACACTATTTATTTTGCAAGCACATCTAGTTTCACATTGCAGGCATCTACTTTTCGTATAGCTTTGCTTTAGTTATGAGTCATTTTGGACAACAAGCTTTCTGATCAATTGTTTTCAAAAGCTTTTCCTATTTTGAGTAAAGATGACTTGCTAAATTAGTTATCTTGATTGCCTACTTTCTTAGCATTAAGTGACTACTACAATTTATATCTACGAGATTGCATTATTTGTTTTATAAACAATTATTAAAATTAGTCTGAACAGAATTTATCTCCGGCCGCCGCTAGTTAATGCTTCAAGTCATTTACTTTCTTAACACTCTCCTCTCCAAATCTAATTCTTTAAGGACTTTTTTGTCTATAATAAACAATCAGAATCAGCATAATTGATTTCAATCAATCAGCGAAATTCGGCCTGATTTGACTTAGTTATAAAAAGAATGAGGCTTAAAAATTAGTTTTGGATCAAATATTCAATCATTGCAGGCGGCTTAAGTTGAAAAATTTGATACTGCCCCTCTGGAACTTCTGCCAACTTAGAAAAAATAAAGTCAATTTGCATATAAGCAAAGTGTCAAGACAAAGGGTGTGATGAAATCGACACAATGTCTTAGCATCCGCCAGCAACCAACGTTAACGATGGCAAGTGCTCATACGAGGAGGTATTTAGCTGATGTAGTTATAAACATGGCTTCCAAAAAGGGATTTAAGTTGAGATCACGAGCATAGGTAAAATCTGGGTTTCAACAACGACCCTATACTATTTGAGCCCACTCTCTTAATCACTAAAACCTTTCGCACACCCATGATCTAGACGACGAGGATAGGAGGTAAGGATTGAGGCTTATTTGGCAAGGGCAGGAAGCCCATTGCTTTCTGCGAAATGATGACCGGCACCTTTAAAGCCTTTCAACAGATGGCAATACAGCCTCCAAGGTTTAATAGTTATGCCAACAATATTGTTCAAAATCAGACCTCTATAGACGTGTAGTTGATCATGTCTGTTGTTTAGGTTCATGAGAACGCAAGAAGCTTGGTGCAAGCCGTTTTTTAGAAAGAGTGTAGTCTTCTGATCTCGCTTGGTCTGTTTACGTCTTTACTAAGCTACATAATATTGTGCACCACCACCTTAGATCCATGCTATAGTTTGCTCACCGCGTCCATTTTTGAACGTGTTGGCTGGTGCTAGATTTATATACACCTATAGAGATGATGCTGCCTAGTTAATGAAGCTTGGATAACAGTATTTGATTGTCGACGTCTAGAGTATTTCTCGTATCAGACACACCGATGTAGCTTATTAATTTTAACTTTATGTGAACCTCCTTATCTCGTTGCCTCGACTTGTCATTTTTTTGTTGAGCTGACTTACATTTCGAGTGAAAGTGTTGGGTGAAGAGATTCGAAGGTCGGTTCCAACAGAAGACGACGGCGGATTCCTCTTGAGCAGCTGTTGATTGGCTTTACTGGAAGATTCCTACTGACGCTGTTTCCGAGGTAATCTCCTTCGATTCAGGTGAAAAGGTGCTAAGCTTTCGTCTGTTATATGACGGACATCATCAGAGCGACGTAACATCTTCACAACAAAATTCAAGCTAATGAGTCAAGAAAACTCACCGGCAAATCCCTAAAAAGTGGTATATATACT